TTATGCACACTGTATACGCATAGACACTGATAAGAATCATTGTTTGCCTGTATGCAGCGATACATTCGACACACATAAGCAATCGTGCTTGTGAATATTTATTGTGTATTGGTTATGGGTATAAGTGTTCAACAAATATATATATATATATATATTTGTGTGTGTAGATTTATATATATATATATATATATATATATATATATATATATATATATATATATATATATATATATATATGTATACATACATACATACATTCATATATATTACACGCACACGCACACGCACACGCTGACAGACATAGAAAGAGATGCTAAACAAGAGAAGGAGAGCAACAAAAGAGCAACATTTAAGAGAAAAGAGACAGCATCAAGAATACAAACGGCACTTGTGATAAGATGATGATAATAGCGTCATTAATAATGCCGAGAGAGAAAGAAAAAAAAAAATTATCTTCTCTCATCTTCCCCTTCTGAGAAATCTTGGAGGATAGATGGGGCGCCTCGCAGACTGCAGGAGGGGGTCGAGGGGGAGGGGAGAAGAGAGGGGGGAGGGGGGGAGGAGAGAAGAGAGGGGGGAGAGGAGGGTGGTGGTGGGGAGCAGGCGGAAAGAAGGGGGGGGGGGGGGAGGAGGGGAGGGAGAAGGAAGAAGGTGATGGGAGGGAGAGGGGGAGAGGGAGTGGAAGGAGAGGGGAGGGGGTAGGAGAGGGGAAAGAGAGGAGGGAGAGGGGAAGGGGAAGGGGAGGAGGGAGAAGTGGAGGAGGAAGAAAGGGGGGAGGGGGTGTTAGCGTTCCTTGGGGATACTGCCGGGAATGCGTCTCGAAAATGGCTCCTTCTGCTGATATGAAATTGCTAGATTGGATGTGTTTGTTTTCTGTTTTTTTTGTCTTTTTCTATTTCCTTTATGGCTGCTGCACGAATTTTGATATATGGTTTTGTCATCTGTGTGTTCATTTTGTTAGCATTATTGTTTTGATTCATGGTTTGTCTGTCTGCTTGTAAAATA